AGGAATCATTAGGAATCCTTCAAAGGCTTAAAATATTAATACGATCAGGGTAAAAAACTTCCACATCCTTTCTGATTCCTCACTTTCTCACCCCCTAGAGCCAATCGGTGTCTTTACAATTTCTTTAAAGCACGGTTTTTATTAAGACATCACTGCTTTTCACTGTCAATACTAGCATTTATTGTCTATTTGATCCTGTCTAAATTTCTCCTCCAAGGTTCCAGAACTACCCACCCCAACACTGCATCCCGATGCCCAACCCCATCAGTCATTACATCCACTGCTCTTCCTCAACTGCATTCAAGATAACTTATTTGAAAATTCCACATACTTGATTACTACACTTATCATTCCCTGGACTTAGTTTCTCTTCCTTGCTAATTCAAGCCAGAGCATCCTCAAAACCTACCTCATACAGATTTTTTCTTAAGGTAAACCTTTCTGGGTTCCTGTCCATTCCTGTGTTCCTTCATTTGTCACATCTCTCGTTCATGGAACTCATTTTATGTAGCACGATATGTTACCATTAATCTTGAATGTAAATGTGTGATTGTATGTGTGTGTATGTGTGTGTGTGTGTGTGTGTGTGTGTTGATCTGTCCCCAAATAAAGAATTGGCTTTAACACAGCAAATACAGAAGATTTTAAATCTTTTCTTCGGCGAGAATTTAGAAATATCCTGAAACACTCAGTATGGTTTGCACAAGCCATGGGTTTTACAAGCAATGGAAACATCCATAGGAAAGAACATTTCTGCTGAAATCTCCCAGTTGCACCAGGAAAAACAAAGCAAATCTATGAATCCCATCACCCATAAAGATGAACAAGCAAATTAGGGGCACATTATACCTTCTCCATTTTAATCAGGAAGTAATCAATAAAGTCCCGAGGGTTATTGATGTCCAGAGATCTTTGATGCTCTTTTATTTTCTCCAAAATGAACTCTTTTTGGTGAGCAACATTTTTAAACAAATCTTTGTGACATCCTAGGAGATAACGTAATAGAGGGAGGGCATTGTAGAGCTGAAAAAAGACAGAATCCTTCATTACTTCACTCAGCAAACGTGTGCAGGCTCTTATGTGTCAGACACTTTGCTCTATCCTGAGCTGGAAAGGAAGAATGAGACATGCTTCCTGCACTACCACACACTTACAGTCTGAAGGAGAGAGTGCAGAGAAAGTAGCCAGAGTTATAGAAAGCACAGGTGACAAAGCAACTTCAAAGCCATTTGCATTCATTTCATAACCACCTCTCTCCACATGAGAACATGGAGGTTCAGAAAGAATAGTTAGTCAACAGTTCTAAGACACCAAACTAGTGATATCAGAGCTGGAACCCAGTGTTCCTAGCACTTTACCCTACAAATACTCTTTTATTGTAAAGAAAAAAACAACATATCAGAAAGATCGAGGAACACAGCCCCATCACTTAGCTCTTTTTTTGTTTTGTTTTATTTTGTTTTTGTAATTTACACATTTGCCACTTCAGAAATGTGCATGCTTACCTGACTCATCTGGCCTTTGCTGGTCCTCGAGCCCCCTTACTCAGCTTTGGACAGTGACTTAATGACTTAATACCCTTGGTAGGCACCAAAGACTGGTAGCTTGAATCAAACTAGTTATAGGATCAGAACATCTAGATTCCAGACCTTGTTCATCCATTGTGTTGGCTAAGCTACTTTGGAAAATATGATTAATAGATCTGGGTCACAGTTTTCTTTTCCAGAAAATGAGAGCTTGGGCTTTTTGTTCTCTCAGGTCCTTCTCAGGTGGGGCACACCAGGACCTTATGATCCATACAGAATTTTAGTTGTCAATGATTGTACAGCATAGATTACTAACACTTCTGACAGTGAACTAAAGTCAGAAATACATCTATATAGTACTGCCCTCTGTACCTACAGATATAAAAATAATAAGTTTTCTCAAAAAATGCATGACTATAAATGAAACACTCTCAGTTATATTTTTCTTTCAATGTTATTTCACATTTTAAATTTCATTTCAACACATTAAATTAATCTGGTAGCTCACGAATGGGTTACAAATGATAGTTTGGTAAATACTACTTTGGCCACATTTAAAGAGGGCAGAGGAAGGAGACAGGCATGAGCAATAGACTAGCTAGACAAGCATTACCCCTTTAAACAGAACTTTGACCTTACCTGTATCCAAGGGGTGCTTACAATTTTAAGGTTTTCATGAAAATATTTAATCAAGGTTTGAAATGTGGGATCACTATAATCAAAGCGAGTCTGGAAAATGACAGAGCAGATCACATTGCAGGGAACACAGGACAGAATGGA